TTTTGGTTTTTCGAGACAGGGTTTCTCTGCGTAGTTTTGCGCCTTTCCTGGGACTCACTTGGTAGCCCAGGCTGGCCTCGAACTCACAGCGATCCGCCTGTCTCTGCCTCCCGAGTGCTGGGATTAAAGGCGTGCGCCACCACCGCCCGGCTTCGTTTGTGATCACTTTTACAAGTCATTATTATTATAGAAAGTAACTGGCAGAGTGCATCATCAGGATACAGCAATTTATGTAACCAATTCAAAATTACTTAAAATTTAGATTGTGCCTTGAATTGTCTGTTAATTAAAATCAATTCATTTGTTGTTGACTTAGGGTCTTCAATTAATTTCACTGAAACTTTGTCAAATCTACAAATATTTTTGTCCACCCATGTCATCACTTGTACTGTAATATTCTCTTCCATAGAAAGTTCTCTCTGTGGGTGAACTAGAACGAATACACCCAAAGCTCCTCAACAAATTCCCATGATACTCTCAACAGGAAAAGCACTTGTCTGGATTGTATTTTCCCATATTCTTTGGTCTCTTATATAAGACTTTTGCCTAAAATGTCATGCCCCCTTTCCAAATTTGTTGAAAAAATATTTTTTCTTTCTGATTCTTTATTCCTTCAACTGAGACACCATCTCTTTATTATAATACTAAACTCATTTCTATTATTTGTTTTTTATGCTATGTTTTATTTTCGATTGAAGTCTCACAATTTTTAGTACCAAAATTCCTTTAGAAATTCTGAGGATGCCAGAGTCTCTGTTGGAATGGAATCTATTGCTATTTAATGTATTAGGATGAAAAATTGAGCAAAGTTAATATTTTTAGCATTCCATTTTAAGGTTGTAATATGACATCTATCACATGTTAACAAAAACATCAAATTTATGTTTGCAAAGTAAAAGCTAGTTTAGTGAGAATAATGACATTGTTTTACATTTTAGCAACTCCCGTTGATGTCTGGTCTAAGGAAAAGCAGCTGGATTCATGCACTGACAGTGTTGCCCTGGGGAGACCAGCTTCACACAGCTGTGTGGTAGGAGAAGGGAGACCCTGGCAGCTGTCCTGGGCAATTTCAGGGATACCCAGAGATCCTCTGCCCACAATTGAGAACTGCAGTCCCAAACCTGCTCCATTTGCTCAGCATCTTTTCATATGATAGTTGTGCTTTGTTTTGTTTTTAATAAGAAATGAGAAGACAATGGTATTTCAACAGTACATGGAAATGCTTCAGTAACAGGCAGACATTTAGACTGCGTGGACAAAGGGAAAACATTTCCTTTGGGATATTTGGAAGCTAAGATGCTGTCTGAAGTAACACCATCATCGAAGAACATTGTTCTTTTCAGTAGCTTCTTTCAATAGATACTTAGGTTTCATATTTAAACACTGTGACTCAAAACTAGCAATTTTCTAAATGAAACAAAATTTTTCTTTGTGTGATTTTTGGCAAAACTCCATTTTGAATGCTGGCTCAGTTTCAAATAAGGGCTCTGTTCTTCCGAAATCCATTCCCTGGTCTGGTGACTTGGCATTCTTTGGTCTGTAAAATGGACGCTTTCATGCTTTGTTGCCTAAAAACATTCAATGTGTCTTGTTTTCACTTAATGAGCCCAGAAGTGGAACCAACTTCCACAGAACATCTTAAAGTAAGACTCAAGTTTGCTGTAGTAGGGCTCCGTGGATTCTCCATTCAGTGTCTGATACAGCATGAGCTCCAAGGATTGTTGTGTTCTTTGTTCTGCTGCGGTTTGATTACATGCACCGTGGAGAACAGAGGAACCCCTGAGTGAA